GTTCCCGAACATTCTAGCTCGAACATTCGAGATGACGAGCATAGTAGATATAAAGAGCCGTGCGCCGTATTGCCGATTCATTCACCGATCCTCTCTCGCGATAGCCGCCTGTTACGCCGACGTACCGTCGCCTGTTTCTGTCGCCGTCGACGCTCGCCCGCTGCTGCTTTCTAGACGTCTGTTCTTTTTTCGTTTCTGGCACAAGTTCGCCCCCATTAAATCTTTAGTTCATTTCGTTTTCTCCCGCCTCTTCGTCTCTCATTCGTGACATTTCTGGTGGAGGCGTGGGGTAAGAGTGCACGGAACCTTCTAGAATCTAGATGAACGGAGAAGCGCAACTTCTCGGCTATGTACCCGGAAATATATGGTACGTATGCTCTAACATAAAAAATGATACGCCTAATAGGTTGATAGCACGTAGATTGGTGTGTATACCTCTCTTCTTAGAGGACCGTCAGCGCCACGGGTGATTCGAATATCGCTTGTTTGAATTTTGTTGAAGCGTAGGGTGACATGAAAATAACGGCGTTAGAACACCTTGCAAGCTCCCGTGTACCGTTTTTTTTTGTTTTTTTTTTTTGTGGTAAAAATGACCCTAATATCCACTGAATACAACGCATAAAGTAAAACCAAATGACAAGAACAGAATCAGGAAGATTAAAATCACACATTTTCAGATTAAATTTAAGCGAATACGTATAAAGAACGCGAAGCTTCCGATCAATCCTTAAACGTACCGCGCAAAGTGTTCAGTCCCGTTTTTAAGGTTATAGCGTGAGTGCTAAGCACCTGGGATTTAGTGTCGTAGCAGTGACGATGACCACCTTGTAGTCATCTGGTGACTTCTGTCGGTCTCTCTTCGGTGACTCTGCTCTGCTCGTGTATGATTCTCGAAGACGAAAACAGTTACGGTAATTTTTCTGTCGGATATTTAGTGTCCCGCAAAGTACATTCATTAAATCAGCCTAGAACTAAAATAAGACGCTTCTTTGCTGGGCCTTCAAAGTGAGAATGGTCATTTCGTATAATTGTAGTAACTCACGCGAGGTATTATGTAAAAAAAAAAAAAAAGTGACACGTCATTCCGAGTTGATTTCAGGAGGCAGCGAAGAGCAGTTCCGCCTCCGAGACTTGGCCTTGCCGTGTTTATGTCTAACGGTCACTCCGGCGTTCGCCTATCTCCCGTTTCCGGGTTCTTTCTTTTGGCGGAATTCGGAACAATTAACTTTCGGCCTAACATAGTCATTCACAAAGAACGACCCGTGCCAACTCGAGTTTACCATCTTGTAGACTGAGTAATTGCTTTTGGGCAATCTGTTCTAAACGGTCGTCGTTCATCGTTGAAATTGTCACCTTCTACTATGACGAGAGCGTGCACGTACGCTTCTTGAAACCTCACAGATGTCGTGTCGGGCGTAGGAACGGGCCTCGGCAATTAGTGTCAAAGGAGACGGCTCTGTTGGCTCGACGACCAGAGCGTTTTGTTCGCTGCGTTGGAAGCGATTTTAATATGCGATGAAGGGGCTGACATCTACCGACAACGCCACTTCGTCGTACCGGCACCTCGTGTTTTTCCAGGTGTGGGGACTCTAGGGTGTGTTGCATACATGGGTAGTAATTCAATTGCAGCAATAGAATTACGTAATTTAGCTATTTTTGTGGGTAATTTGTAATTGTGATTCATTATTTTTTATATAAAGGAATTTTTGAACTCAGTTATTTTAAAATGTGAATTACAACTACTCTTTTATGATTTTGGCATGCTGAAGCTTTGTCCTGTAGGGTCACCTACAGGCAAGAATACACTGAGCGTCTTCCTTCGCGACGCTTGGAAAGAGCCAAGATTACGCCAGACCACTGACCGTCGACACACAGATGAGCGATTGCTGTCACGAGGCACAGCACCCGAAAAAGCAAAGAAAATGCACTAGATTAATCGAGAATGCCTTACATTATCAGGGTGGAGAAAAAACACACACCAATGTGGTGTGACTAAGATATTTACATTGAATATCTTATCCCGACTGATATCGATCATTTTGTTTATAAGAAATGAGCCCTTTGGTAATTTTTTCTATGCTTAGCAATACTTCTCATTTTAAGCACAGAGGTAAAAAGAACACTAACAACCTCGGTAATAATTCAAAATACTGAAACAAGTGACCCGTGTCATACTCAAAACCCCCTCTCACATCAGTACTGAAGTATACGTGAAACATAGGCACAGCATATGACTAATGTTAAAATGCATACATTGAATCCTCAAGGATAAGCCCAGTAATGGACAAACACATTTCAGTGCTGAAAAACGCTATCGAATTATCATAGCTGACGTCAAGTAGCTCAGAAAGAAGTGTGATTACGAAGTAATCGTATCACGTTTTGTAATAATGATTTTAACCCGAGACTGGAGCAAAAGGAATTTGTTTCTAGTGAAAGAAAAAGCTACAAGGACAGACAGCATCAAAATTTTTTTACAGTGGAGGAAAAAGTAACAGGGACACACAGCGTATCTTTAGAGACGCTGTCTGTCCTCTTTCTCTTCCACTGTACAAAAATTCCTCCCTCTGCCCCAGTCTCCGGTAAAAATTATCATGGTAAACTTCCACCAGCTCGGCTGCTCACTGACCGTAATTACGTTTTGTACCTAAACCATAACTGTAACGATTTACTCTTTGTGTGCTAATAACTATAATTGTAATGAATTGTAATGCAATAAACGCAAAGGTGCAAGCGGGTTGGACAAGAATGACGATAATAATCCCTGGAAAAGGGAAACAAGAGGGACAAAGTACAAATGCATACCTCCAAACACAGCTAGGAAACTGGTGCGCGACCGAAAAAAATCTGATCGCGCACTGATCACCCAGCTGTATTTTGAGATCTGGTGCTTGTCCTTTGTCCCCCTTGTTTCCCTTCTCCAGGGATTATTATCGTCATTCTTGTCCAGCTCCCTTGAAACTTTGCATTTATTTGAATTATCATTGTAACTTTACAATGCAGGCCGTTGACCCTTGTTGGTGTTAGACTGGTGGCAGCTGATAAAACCCGCTTGCTCTACTGACGTCTAAATTCTGGATAGCTCAGTTGGTAACGCTCTCCACTGAACGTGGAGAGGTGCCTGGTTCGATACCAGGACCAGGCAGATTTTTTCGGTTCCGCACCAGTCACCTAGCTATGTTTGGAGATTTCTCTTTGTCCTTCGTCACCCTTGTTCCCCTCCTCCAGAGACTATTTTCGTCATTGTATTTAACTACCTTGAGAGCAAAGTAGTTGTAATCACATTACACTTCTGATGTTACTCTAGAATTTCTAAAAATTCCAGAAAAATACTCGAGCAATCTAACGCAAGCAAGGGTGCTTTCATTAAAGTCTTGTTTAGGTCTGTCAGTGATGTCCTTCTTTTTTACTTCGATTTATCTACAAATATTTTTAAGCACGCAAAAAAAAAAAAATCGATTTCTTGATTTTTGTTTAAGTATTATTTTTAAATAACACTGACGGTTAAAGGTGGCGGTTGACATGGGCCGTGTTCCAAAATTTACGCGATCGTACTCCAGGGTAAGAGTTTTGTACCTTGGCGTTCCAAAACCTACTCGCGTCCAGCGTTCTTCAATCCGTATTGTCACGTGACACGACCCACCGGAGTAACTCGGGTTCATTTGGGTAAGACTTGGAACACAGCCATGATCTGTACAACGAAATTTTATTTGAGCGGAGTGATACGGCTTGTAGAATCCTTACGCTCGGTTCAACATTTAAGCGCAAAAATTTGTGCGTTTGTTCTTAGAGTGAGTCTTTCGGGTACGCCGTAGCGTCCAACATCCTGAACCAGCAGCTCGGCCAAGCAGCAGTTTTAAGAGTAATTGAGTTTTCGCTCCCCCTTGCGTTGTGTCCATTAAACTGGCACGCCTACACGCCACGCCCTTCCAGCAGGAAAAGGTACGACGGAACTACGCCCTACCGGCTTCTGACGTTGCCGACCAGTGTTGGCAAACTTCCGACGCACGCTACCCTACATGTCCAGGCAATGACCAGCTCCTTTCCCATTTTCACTTCAGCACCGCCATACGTAGGTAGAAACGTGCGGAGCCCAGCTGGTCATTAACATTCGCAATATTTATTTGGAAGTCAACGTAGTAACAATGCCAGTGAACAGATATGAAATGAAAAATAAAAATGGTGACGACGTCGTTCCGTTGGAGGTGATAACATCTATGATCATGATAATACCTGGAGTAGGGCCACAGCCTCCTCTATACTCACAAAGCCTGACGATTCGACGACGGAGCCCTAGAGTGGCCGGTCGCAGATTTGGAGCGCGAGGATCTGGTAGCACAAACTATCAACGAGCCATTTCTCAGGGAACCTGGACGTCAGCGCACAGCTTTCGCAGCGGCGAGGACCCGAAACACACTTGTTCGCTCGGGACACACCGTGGCTCAGGATGAGTGTGTTTCAGCGTCTCGCCCAGTTGTCCAGTTCACTACCTTTTCCATTTCAGCGGCCGCTTCTCGTGGCGATCTGCCAGGGTTTGTTAGTATATAGGAGGCTATGTTAGGGCCAATGGTGCGATAATAGTAGTAGCGATATTAGCAATATCAGTTATTTAAGGGCAGTCCCCGAGGTGGAAGAGTTTCACGCAACATTCAATTGACTCCTTCAATTTGGTCTGGTGGCAACTGTTCACATCCATTTGTTCTACTGACGCTCAGTTCGTAGAGCTCGGCTGGTAGAGCGTGCACTCTAGTCTTGGGGAGATCCCAAGATCAAAGCCGGCGTCAGGCGGATTTTTTTTTTTGTTTTTTTTTTGTTTTATGTTTTAGCTGCTTACCTGTCGCCTATGGAGTGTGCGAGTTGCGCTCCATCCTGGGCGTAAGTCAATTTACTCTTGTACAAGCCGAGTTGGGAGGTTGCACATTCTTTACCGACACATGGCGTCACTTGGCACTCGTATTTGGAGCTCTCTGACTCAGTGAGTGAACTTGAAATGCTCGCAGGTGCGGTGCTGACGCATGCGCAGACGTGCAACCTGGAGCGCGCCCAGCAATGCCGCGACGACCTGCAGCGGCAAGTGAGGCAGGAAAGCCGCAGCTTCAGGGGCCAGGAGATCACCACGCTTTGCACGTAAGGCCCGACCTTCGCGCTCCGCGCTGTTCATTTCAGGATTGTTTGACTCGCACGTAAAGCGGTATTACGAGTATATTCAATACTTCCCGAAGTAATGAAGTTATCAATGGTCTTCAGGTGATCCCAAAATGTACGAAAGATGTGGTTACAGTCAGTCATTCCAACGCGTGATTTCTCAGGAATAAAGGATAGTGATATTTTAGTTAATCTAAAATTCTAGAAGCCGCGTCGGGCAGCTTTACGAATAATGCAAAAAAAAAAAGATCCAAGAAACATTTTTTGTAACGTAACTTCTTAGTCGGTGTCTTCTTATGTCTCCACTTACCTCGCTCACGGTACACTAACATCTCTATACTCGTTTTCACGCCAAAAACCGACGTAAAAAAAAAAAAAAGTACGGCTTTTCTTGGTGTATTACTAATTTTCCTCTTTATGCTGATAATTTAGATATAAGTAGGTGCATTTTAGATTAGATATATGTTACCTTATCAAGACGTACACGTTTCAATCGCCAAAAGCATCGCTTCTTCTTCCGACAACCAAATCTTGTAAGGACTATTTCGCGCAGCGCATGGACATGGAGCAAAACTTTTTTTTTTTTTTTTTTGAGGTGAAGACGGGCATAGTCAGGTCACACCAGCACAATGTTGATCGTTACTCTGCCCCTTTCCTGTTAAATACCATCCAAGTTATAGAATGTCGGGACCGCTGTGTCCCAAGACTCAGTCATCTAGAATCATTATCTGGAGACGTAAACCCTTTCTCATTTTTGGTGGAGACCCCAAGTGAAGCATCTTGGAGGTACCCAAAATGAACGTACATGAAAACAGATCGCAAACGCACAAAGGCAGTGAGCGCCATGACGATCTCTTTTTTTGCCGCTGCTCGTCGATTGGCTCCACGCATGATCTTCTTAGCATCAACTGCATTCGAACTTCTTGTGGTATGGAGTATTTTTTATTTCGTACATGGCAGTATAGCCACATTGCTCCGGTCCGGTTCTTTATTCTTTTCTTTCTTTCAGTGCCAACAATATATCTTATTTCACGGCCATAGCGAGCGATGGACATTGCAACGGGACTATATATACGTTTGTGCACTCGCAGGTCGGTCCGCGACAACATGGCCTGTCTGATGTGGCACTCGGCCAACTGCCAGTCCAGGGACCAGCAAGAGAAGAGCGGCGACGTCATCCTCTCCGGGAAGTCTTTTCTGGAGAGGTCGTGCGACCTGGACGGCGGTGAGAGCACGCATTCTCTTCGCCCCACAGTCGTCCATACGGTGCTAGCGAAACAATATTCCCGCCAGGCAAAGCTGAGGACGTCGACGACTGCAGAATCATAATGATGTCCTCTTTTGGGTCCCCCCTGGAAGGTTTGGTGGCGGAAACTCTACCAGTGATTCTCGCTGTAAAGCGTGCACTAAAATGGTTCCGATGTGTTACTGTACTGCGTCCTTAGCCTGTATGCTGGATTAGTAAGTTGCACGACGCTCGAGAAAAATATCATTCGCGAGTATCGTTTCCTTTTAATGGTAGGAATTAAGTGAGATTCACACGAACAACGTCGTCACGATGAGTTTGAGCGTTTCCTTTCAAGCGGTCGGATTAAGAGGACCCTGCGTACCTGTGGTGACCTCTGGCATTAGAGTGTGCTGTATATACTGTTCCTAATTTCACAGTCTTCTTCCGGGCTTTCGTTCAACTTTTTGTCCCTACTGTACACAAGGAAGCTCCAAGCGCGAGTCCACACAATGTTTTGCCTGATGCAGGAAGCAGATGGAACCTTCAACGACTCAGCTGGCGCTTACTGTTTTTGTTTCAGTTGACTAAAAGGTGAACATTTCTCGGCAGCTGTTTCTATCCATTTTCGCTTCTACACTCGCACCGACTCAAGGCGAAAGGCCGCCTCAATTATATTGTGTTTCGGCCAACAATGGGTACATATTCTGCAATCTTTAAGGAAACTAACAACTAAAGTATCGCTACACTCCGCGACAACTTTTCTTTGCAATGCAGTGGAAGGTAGAGGCCCGCGTCCCCTCTCCCATTTTGAGTGTGCGCAGGCTCTCCTCCTCCCCCATTTCCGGGGAGAGGAGGAGGGCCCGCGCACACTCAAAATGGGAGAGGGGACGCGGGCCTCTACCTTCCACTGCATTGCAAAGAAAAGTTGTCGCCGAGTATACACCGACACGCGGGTTTGACGTCACGGAGCTGCGGCGGCGCTGCGATCGCGCCGGAGCCGGGGGGTGTGGGCAAAAGCGCGCACGTTTCGCATGGGCGTCATAGCATTTCAGCATGTAGCGAAGCTGTGTTGTCGTTAATTGCACCGAAATGTACAAGAAAAGCAGCGGAGTGAGTTTCCACAAGTTCCCGGCAGACTCTGAAAGGCATAGAAGGTGGATAATATCCGTGGATCGAAAAGAATGGTCGCCTCGCGCGAACGACCGTTTGTGCGGCAAACACTTTCTTGGAGGCAAGTGCGGCTTCCATCTCAATCTCCGTCGCGAGGCTTGCTTATGTGCAGGGAAACCGTCGTCTGATGAAGACCACCCGGATTTTGTTCCCACGGTGTTCGCGCACAACGCACCGGCCAAGCGCTCGTCGGGGGCTCGTTACGCACGTGCTACCGAGCAGAAGGGGATCGGCGACAGAACGGCAGAGTTGTAGGCGTTACCGAAAAAAAGTAACGAAATACGTCACTCGTTACTTGCAAATAAAAGGTACGCGTTACTGAGCTACGTTACCTAAATATAAAAGAAACGCGTTACCGCTACCGATGAAAAGTAAGGCACGTTACTTCTGCGTTCCTTTTTTAAATTATGATTTAACACATTTTACGGTTTTGACGATACAGGTCCTATATCAAGCAGAAGCTGAACATAAATACTTTATCTCTTTTTACGGTTTCACCTAAATACTTACGAGAAAAATCGCAAAGAAAACATGGCTTGACGCCTAAAACACGGAAACAATTGAAGTGCGATTTCTTTAAGACATGGGAAGTAGTAACGACTAACGTAACTACGTTACTTGAAATAGTAGCATAAGTACGTTACCCGTTACTGTGTCAAAAACGTAGCGAGTAGGGAACTACGTTACTGAAAAAAGTAACGCGTTCCTGGTAACGCCGTTACTTGTAACCTGTTACCGCCAAGACTGCAGAACGGACAAACCTTTACTGGTTGTAATGCCTTGTGGTCACGGGGGTGTGAAAAAATCATACCTTGACTTGAAGACGCTCTGTGTATTTAATCAATTAATGAATACACACACTTCCGCAGACCCACAGTCTGCTGATCCCGCCGGCAGTGCGGAAACCGACTCGATGTAATCGTAGGCCTTGAGAGACTTGTAGGCCTGCACCCTGTCGGCCGTGAACTGACTTGGCGAAAACTAAATAAACGACGACCTGAGCCGTCGACTTCCGTGGCAGCAACTTTACGTCGGAAGTCCAACACCTAGGCCTTGTTTACGGCGTACGGATCCTCGTAGGCAACGCCGTCCACGCACAGTTTGTTTCGATACCGCTACCGTTCAGGCTCGGGCAACGAGCTCAAATAGTCGGGCATAGCATACGACATACGTTATGAGGAAATACGACGCACAAATAAAGATACAAGCGTCCCTGCAACGTCAACAACGAGCGCACGCCATAGAGCGCAATGGCGAAAACGCGGAGAGCCGGGATGCTTTTGCCCACATAGCTAACGCGCATGCGCGGCCTTCCGGCCGTGTTGGTAAACAGAGCCGCTCCGCGTGTCGGTCTATAGACCTTTTCCACAAGGGCGCCGCCATCTTGAATTGACGTCACTTCCAGTATGGGCGAAAACATTACTTTGCCGTTGCCACGCCAATAGAAGACATTTAGGATATAAGCCTAACCGTCACACATTCTCGTTTTGGCTCGCCTCTATTTTTTTACTAGTTACAGGTTGAAACGTTTTACTTTTTTTTCGTCGCCCATACTGGAAGTGACGACAATTCAAGATGGCGGCGCCCTTGTGGAAAAGGTCTATAGTGTAGTATCGTGCAAGTATACAATAAGAACAAGCTACCGAGAGGAGCAATGCTTTGAATGCCTCAGAACCTTACGATTTAGTTTCTGAAAGCTAATGCCGTCAAAATTCTTCTGGTCGAGTCCTTTTTATATAAAACGCCGTTTCACATCCGGGTGCTGGCGAAACAAATTGGTGCGATTTTCAGTCTCGAGCGGCAAAAAGCTTCTTGGCAAAACAGGCAATTCAGTTGCAGTGCACCTTTTTTTCCTCACACGAGTGTTGTTTAAATTCGTAGAGCAACAAATGTCGCACTGCGACGGAAAAAAAATCACCATGTAAAACTGGTTAAAAGTAACTCTTAGGGGTTTAATGACACAATAGCAACATATCTAATGAAGTGCTACTAAAACCAAAACATATCTTGACTATATAAAAGTGTGACAAGCAGGTCACTGACAAGGCACTGACTGACGAGACAGTTGCTTCCTAGCGTTTATACGCGGACGGGTGACCAGCTGCTTGTAAACTAATGCGTCGTGCGAACATTCTCAGGTTGGCGGGTGAGTCGGTGTTACTCGAACGACGATGTGAAGCGGTGCGAGGCTAACTTCGTGGCGGGAGGCAAGGCGTCCGTCATCGGAGATTCCTGCAGGTGAGGTGTTCCTCCGGTAGAGTTGCTTCTGTTCACTGAAGGAAATAAACGCACCAGAAAAATAAAAACAATTGCGATGCTTTATTATTATTATTAGACGGTAGCCTCGGAGCCATCGTAAGTTACAAACAAATTGTAGCGCATGCTTTCATGCAGAGCACAGTTGCACCACCACTCACTGAGCAACCTGGCTTCCGACGATTGAGGGTTGTAATTTTCACCATTTTTTTTCTTTTCCTCGGAATTTTAAAGGCATTGTAAACGTTATATAAAAAAAATCATCCAAAGAAAAAAAGTTTAGCTTTTTTAATCTGGTGAAGATGGACGGGAGGATGTTGTGTCGACATTTGTTTGGTACCGGTCACGGTCTTGGGGTAACTAGCCCTTAACAGCTCCGCTGTAATATACGCATCTTTCTTTTTTTGTGCGCTACAGTTTATTAAGACCACAGAATATTATAGACATAATCAGGTTAACATTACTCGTTACACGAAGAATTATGTACGCAAAAAACGCACAGGCATCATCATTATTTACACTGGGAAAAAAAAGACGAGAAAGATGATACGGATGGGTGGATGGATGATATTGGCTATACCCATTGTAACGGGCGGTAGCTTGCGCCATTTAACCTGAGAAAATGATTTCCTCCCCCACTTAAATACCCAATTTCGTTCCCTCTACTTCCCGGCAACTATCACCAGGCCGGGCAAATAATTATGACGATGAGGATGCTGATGATAATGATGATGGGGGTGGTAGTGATGAAGAGGACGATAATGATGGTGCCTGTGATGATGACGAAGGTCACGACGATCCTCCTAACTTCCGAGTGAATTCTTTCCCCCCGGAACGCTCATCGGGTCTTTCATCCAAAGTACGGTGCGTGGAGGGCGTCTCTGACTGGTGCGCGTCCTATTCCACCCATTTCATCCAAAGTGGTCCCCAAGTGGATACGAATGACGTCACAAAAGCCGGATTGTCGCGGATGTCGCGACCCTGGCGGTTGGTCGTACAAGCTCCGGCAGAAAAGCACGAGCAAACGCGAGCGTCGCTGGCGTCACGGCGTCCCAACTCGTGGCTGCCGAAGCTTCCGTCAACTGTCAGGCTGAAGAGTTATCTGCGTCAGAATGGCGGAGAGCAAGTTGTCTGCTCCTTGCTCACGAGCGGCGGTGACGTCAGAACTACGCCGAGCTCTTATTGGCTGTTTGAAAAAAGTAGAGGGTAGACATCAAGGTTCGATGTCTTGAGGTCTACCCACTATTTATTTTCAATCAGCCAATCAGAGCTCGGCGTCGTTCTGACGTCACCGCCACTCCTGCGCAAAAAGCAGACGACTTGCTCTCCGCATAGGCGACTACCACATCCACCGCCAGGGTCGCGGCCGGCGGTAGCGTGACACCTCTATGACGTCATCGGGCAGAAATGGAGGGACCGCTTTTTTTGCTCGCGGTAAACACACCAGACGGAGACGCGTTCTAGAAACCATATGGTAGTCCAATCTGCTAAACACCGCGCAGGAGCTACGTGAGCTTCAAGCGATGCATCAAGGACGTGGTTAGCCGGCGGTGCTCTCGGGACGACGAGCAGATGGTGTCGTCGTACCTCATCGACCGGGCCCGGGACCTGAGCTGGCAGTGCGGGGGCTCCATCAGCGAGGCCAGGGACGTGCACAGCATCTACAGGTCGTCTTCCTCGCACGGAGGCTACGCGCCTTACACTCAAGGTGAGGGCGGACTTGCCCGGTGCTCGGGTGTCCTCCATTCGCACGTGTGTGAAGTCGCAGATAGGTTAAGATTTCCGGGCAAACTCCCACACCTCTTTCTCTTTTAGCCGAGCGGACGCCGCAGAAACTATCGCCTCCTTTCCAGCGTTCAAGATTTAGAAAGAGTTGGGAGGAGCTTCCCCAGACCTCTTAACCTGTCACTGACTAGAGTGCGCTTCCTGATGTCCCAGAACAACAAAACTTGTGGGTTGCAGCAAGAACTGCTGGCGCGCGTGTTGCCGCGACGTTTCCTAGAACAGGCTGTCTGTGCTGAATTTTATGTCGTCATAAGGATGAGTGAAGATAGCACCCCAGTAAACCCCTTTTAGAAAACCGCGCCATCTAGAAGCTGCTGCGCCAATTATCCGAGTTGCGCCAATGTTTGGCCACGTACTCTGAGCACGCACTAGACACGAGGGCAGCGTCAAGCCAAATTCAGCCGGGGCAATTTTTTCCAGCAACTCTACGTCGCAACACCAGCAACACGGAACTCCCGCGTTCACGCCAATTGGTGCGATTTGCCATCATCAACATCATTAAAGTTTATTTATCTCGCACTATTTAGACACACAGTTACGAGATATAAACGTGTTTTTATAGTTTTGAATTGCGTTGAGTTTACTAACTCATCTTTCTGAAACGGTTTATTTCCCAAAACGATTAATTTTAAACCAGAACCGAGTCTTCACCATCTCCGGCGCGGGGTATCGCGTGAAAATATGGCGTCCCTAATTGGCTGCTGCCGATTCAAACGTCTTCGAGTTGCTCCGAGTTGCTCGTCCCTTTCGAGCCGGACCCGATCTCAGCAATTCGTGTCGATCTAGGGAAAGCTAGGGAACAACCCGCCATCAACCCCAAAATTGCTGCCCCGTCTGAAGTGGGCCGTCCGAGAAATGGCGACCTCCATTGTTGCCTGATGAACATTTGAAAAAGCTGCGTTAACTGAACTCCGCAATGACTCAATGTCACTATTGTGTCACGACACTAGACAACGAGGCTTACGTTTTAAAAAATCCTTAGTTACTTCTAGCTCTCTCTTGAACATCAGACGTTAGTACAACGAATCACGTAATGCCACGGGTTTGCTCGGAACTCTTACACCGTTGCAGCGTCGTTCCCAACTGTCGCCACGCTATGACGGTATACCCAACCGAGCCATCTTCATCGTCTGCTTATCTTATGATGCCATGGACATTCAGCACTGAGGCCTCACGATGTCTGGATGGAAAATGATGACACTCATGTAATTTTGCAGTCTATGCACCAGTTCTTCTTTTATGGTAGCGACAAAGAAGGACGTGTCGTGTCCAGTATATCGGCAGAAGGCAGGTTCTTTTACTCTTTCTTCTGTGCCTCGTCAACCTCTAGCTCTGAAAGTCTCGCCTGCGAGAGCCACGCTTATCCCCATTCGTGAACTTGCTTGCTTCCGTTCAGACCCACCCATACCTAACTGCACCACGTCTGAAGCCAAGACGGCGGCTATTTTATGTAAGCTACTTTCCTCTCCTTACCTAACGTTCCTTTTACTAACTTTGTTGCAGAATTGCACACAGATGCACTTCATAGCCTATACAAAGCTGTGCATATAAATATCTTAATTATTAAGAAAGTACCCCCACAAAATTGCGTAAAGTAGAATGAATAATAGTACAAATAAAAGAGAAGAAAGTCAGAGAGAGAACATATGACAAAGTGGTATGGTTAAATCTGTTGGACAATTTGGGGTGATTTGAAAGCGTTTTCAATTCGCTCGAAATGCTAACGCTCGCATTTGTACGTGCAACAAAACGAAAAGCAAATCCTAATTAAAAATTTGATCCATCGAAATATTCTTAATTGGGTGAAACAGTCCGAAGAGGTCAATCGATCAGCCTGATCATTCATCGAAGAAAAGATATAAAGATCGAGATACCTCTTTAACGATTGTGACAAGCTCGCTTATTTATTAATAATAAGAACATGGCAAGCAAAAACAACTCGAGCAAAAACAGTTCAATCACGTAAACACGAAAGAAACCTCGTTCCTCAGCTGTTTATACTTAAAAACTTCTCGAGTCCTTCCATATGGCAGGAGACGTGCACCCTCTTCATGCAAGTATCGTTGATGTCACGGGTTATGATGTAAAGTAACTTAGAAATAAATCAACGACAAAAAATGGAGAGTTTGAAATATGAACAGCCGAAGAACCTCTTCGAAGCATTGTTTGTTCTTGTTATTAAAGAACATGGGTCTTTTTTTTTTCGCTAAAAGCCGCGGTACATTTCATACCGCAAATATAGTTTTGTGTAAACGCAACTGCAAGGTCACATTTACACAACAGCCTTTGGCTACGATGGACTACTTCGCCGTGGATTACATCGAGATATGATCGATACTTGCCGTGGCAATCAAGCATTCCGTTGCCGAGTTGCATTGGTAAAGGCTTGTCCATAATTACAGAACCACAGTTCTTCTTCTTTTTTTCGTCTTTTAAGTCTTTTTGGCAGATGTTTAGAAACGAACGTATCGCACAAAAACGACGTCCGAAAAGAAAACGTTCACGCGAGAAAACGGTGGCAGGCCTGTCTGTGAGGACCGGCATGATCGTTGTTGCCGTATCTCGACGTAAAGCCCCGGAGGGTAGCCGAACACAGTCAAACGCTACTTTGTGAATGGCTCTTGAGATGCTCGATTGCCCTTAGAAAATACAAAAAATGAAAGCCGTTTACAACTCCCTGTAACGCCGAATTAGAGCGCAGCTCTTGAGGAGGAGGAGGGAAGGGTACTGAGGGTCACGTGTTATTGGGGGGGTCACGTGACCTTGGGGGAGTCACGAGGCCTGGGGGGGCGGGTGTCAGGTGACCTCGGGGGTCACGTGAGGGGGGTCACGTGAGCTCATGGTTACGCCGACGCCGCTCAAGCTGGAAACGGGCGCCTAAGAGCTGCGCTCTAAAACCTTAGAGCCAGAATTATCTGAGCACAGGCCTCGCGCATGAGCATGCTTCGAAGATGTCTGCGGACACGATGAACGTGTCAGGAACGTCGTGCGAGGAAGCAACGCGCCTCGTGCAGTGATGTGCACAGTTGTCTTCTGTACGAGCAGTGTTCGTGTAATCCCACCCTGTCCCCCGAGCATGTGTGTGTGTCTTGGAGCATGTGCACGCTGCGTGAAAGGTGCCGCCTCCCCGTCTGTCCCCAGGCTACCCTCCTCGGTACCTGGGCGCCTCGACGAGCCCCACACCACCCCTGGCACCCCTGCACCGATTTAACTTTTCTTCCGGGAGCTCGGCTTCCGCTTCCGTGCCCGCTAGGGCTTCCGCCGCAGAGGGTACGACCACCCTCTCCCTTTCTCTCTTTCTTGCCCCACACCGACGCCACCTAGAAGCCAAGGCCCCCGAAAGTGGATCCACGCAGTGCCTTCTAGCTGGCGTCAGTAGCACCGTCAGGGCGTCTCGCAGCGTCGAGCGCAAAGCCGGCACGCGGCGTCAGCAAGATGCACGCGCCTGCCGCTTCGCGGTTCAGCCTCAGCGTGTTTCCCGTCTGGGGCAGGTCGGGGATCCACTAGCGATGACGTCATGCGCAGGCCTTGTCTTCTAGGTGGCATTGACCAAACTGGGCCAGTGCTGCCAACTTCCGTGAATGTCCCTGCTCAGCTCCATTTATCTGGCCCTATTGTCTCTCTCTGTTTTAAATCATGTTTTTAAATATAGTAAACAAAACACGAAGATTGTGGAATCTATAGAAGCAACCTCAATCGAAACCTACAACCCAGCGTTCTGGTGAAAAAAAAAGAAAAGGTGTATATATAGTGAAACCCGTTTAGAACGAACGCACGTACAGCGAATTATTGTCGATATCGAACTCCGGGAAAGTTTACCTAAAAATGCATGCAAAAAGTACTTTTTATAACGAACAACATATTGACTATATCGAACTATATCGAACTCTAGGTAGGAGAAGCTCCTAACATAAGCGTGATGCGCCTGTTTTAAATCCATCCGCAGTCGAAAGAATAATTCCCTGGCTACGAAGTGATGCCAACTTGTCTCCTACCCCCCCCCCCCCCCCCCCCCCCTTTGTATTCATCAGAGAAGGAACCGAGCCCCTGAAAGTATCCTTAGTATTTGTCGGAGCGGCAACCTAACCCCCAGAGTCGTTTTTGTTTCCATCGAAGGGGGAAACTTCTAATCTCCCTCTCGTGGCTTCCACAACGCTAAGTCAAAGTCGAAAGATAAAGCCAATATTCACAAGAAGGCAAAACCCACTCCCGCGTTGGCCACGACGTCACGGAAACGATGTGACGCTATTGGATGCGGAGGTGGCGGAGGGATATATGAATCCCCTTGAGGGGCATTTGCCGCTACTTTCTTGAGCTGTAACTTACTATAGCCTCCCCCCCCCCCCCCCCACACAATAAAAAAGTATGAAAGAAAGAAAATTCCAAAAGCTCAAGTTGCGAACAAAATTGAGCGAACAGAAGAGATTCAGAAGGGGAAATAAGCTAAAAAAAACAGTGCACGCGCTCTCGCCTTACAACGAACGCATCGTGGAAGTTCGTTGTAAATGGTTTTTGCTATATCGAACTGATCGTGGCGTTTCCTGCTGTTCGTTATAAACGGGGTTGACTGTATATATATATATATTATGGAACCTTAAATATGACTGCAATATATCAGTAATATTTTTGCTATATATATATATATATATATATATATATAATATTTTATGGCACAGGTTTCTGATTTTGTTTTTTTTTTTCAGATTGAAACACCACCATATGCCTAAAAATCTCTAAAATTATGTATATGCCTCCGCAGCGGGCAGTACTAATCCTAAGTCCTACGTATGCCAACTAACTGTTTATAAAAAAAAAATGAAAGAGGTTTAGAACCTCCTGTAACGCCGAATTAGAACGCAGCTTTTGAGGAGAAGGAGGGGAGGGTATTGAGGGGAGGGTATGCCCCGGCCTCCTCCTTCCCCTCCGTCACGTGACGTCACGTGACCCTCGTGACGTCACGGTTACGCCAACGGCGACGCCGACGCCGCTCAAGCCAGAAACGGGCGCCTAAGAGCTGCGTTCGAAAAAAAAAGAATGGTTATCCAAGGAAGGTTTTGGCACTACGCACATGCGCAGAAAGTCGCTGTATAAAGAGTAAAGCATCTTCACGTGCTCCATTCCACAGTCAGTGCTAACGGCTTGACGCGAGTTCGTATATAAAGAGAGTCTCGACTACCGCGGATTTTTTCGCACATCAACGGGGGAATACCATTGGCCCAAGGTCTGATTGTTCACTTCGCCGGATCGAAGCTCTTCACTTTTGTTGACAGAAAGTGATGGCCGTGAGCCACGAAAGCAATAAAGTAAAAACTGTGCATTGTACAGGGTGTCACAAAAAAAAATTACACGTTCTTTTTTAGCGCAAGAATAAACTATGCATCGCCGAACACTCATTCGCCGCCCAAAAATAGCGCTAGGAGTCACAACCAGATGCCAAAGTTTCAGCCCGATCTGATACCTTATTCAAAAGTTATAAATGATTTTTAGAAAAGTTCAATGGGAAAATGGCGGACGACGGAGTTCTTGAATACATGGGGCTCTATGGCACCAGAAATCGAAAACGGGCGAAAATGGCCTCCATTTTCCCATTGAAATTTTCGGGAAATCACTTGTAACTTTTGAACAAAATATCGGATCGGGCTGAAACTTTGGCATCTGGTTGTGATCTCTGGCGCTACCTTTCGGCGGAGAATGAGAGTTCGGCGATGCCTTGTTTATTTTGGCAGTAAAAAAAACAAAAAAAAAAAAAACGCTGTAAATTTTTTTTTTTTTTTGGTGACACCCTGCAAAGCAGCTTTCTCATGAAAAGTAACGCAATTCTCCTCTCTACTCCCTTGCCCTATGTTCTCACCTCTCCCTCGGCTGCACGCCGCCATTTTTGAATCGAAAGGCAGCGGCTAATCTGGGCGTCACGTGCTTTCACAAGATTGCGCTTGCTCACATGGTATGTTCCATCCAATCGGCGAATGGATACTGACTATAAAAAGCGGGGATGAGGGCGAGGAGGGAGCTTTTGCAGAAAGAAATGCGTTACTATTTCGTGGGAGCGCAGCATGGTGCTTTTAAAGCGAGTCTTCTGCTAACCAAACTGGCATAAACTAATGTCAGCCTTCTGACGTTATGCCTCATCTGTTCGGCTACGGAATGGACATTCAACCCTTTGACGTCAACTGTTTGTTTCGTACAGTGACTGCTGGGCGAATATATGGCTCCGCAAGCCCTCTCAGTATACGACTCTGTTCTAATTTAGCCTATAGACTACTCCTAAGAAATCGACAATATCCGGTGGTCAGAGCATTCGGCGGTCGAGTCAGGTTCGCCCGCCCGTGTGCATGAACGGCTTCAATATGCACAATCCCTGTCGGTCAGAATACGATGCCCTGGATGCACTTAAGAAAACACAAGATCATATACCGCAAAAACCTGCTCGTGCAAAAATCTGTCAGGGAATGACAAAGTCTAAGAATGTTTCTGTACTATTGAACCCTGACCCGAGGTGTACCCGTGGTCCCACAATTCTTAGTTACAATATCCTATCACAATTCTTTTACGAGTGACGAATGACCCCCATGCGCTGCAGATAGGTTCGCGAACGACTTGTTATGTGCTGCGTTAGCTTCGTTTGACTCGCCTAAGCCAAGCGAACTATTTCACGCAAAGCGAACAACACTATATATAGAACATTCGATGTAACCAGTTTTTAAACGATCGACGCACTTGCTCCACGCCGCCACTTCCCTATTCCCGCGCTCTTCAAAGTTCGGTCCGAAATATTCCGTGGTGTTTGGAAGTACAATTTCCTTCCTTTCTCGCTAGCTACTTCCTTCCTCTATCGTCAACAGCTAATAAAGCTTATCGGCGATTATAATTTTCATTTTGCACGTGCTCTTTCGAAAGATATTTAGATGTCTTTATTGTCGTTGCTGGCGGTTTTTTTTTTTTTTTTTTTAGCACATGCTACAAGTATCGTCAATGTTTACATGGAAGGCTCGCTGTTATCATCGTTGTATCCGCCGTCGTTTCAAGCCTTTTTTAAAACCTTCGCGAATTTTGTTGCACAGACTCGTACTGCATGGTACGCGCCAACGAGTACATCCAGGACTGCTCCAAGGAGCACCAGAAGCGCCAGTACAACGCCAGGCGGTACTACTCTGACGACAGGGTCCGGGAAACCTGCTGGTAAGTGCATGACGTGCCCTGACCAGTACATGCAGCCACGGGTCATGACGTAACAGAGATGCTCTGCTATGGTGTCCCTCTTGAATCTGGTCATTTTGCGTGAATTGATTTGTGCGAACACTTACATTCAGTATCAAACGGAAGTGTGAAATTGATTTTCCTCGAATCGTTCTTTTTCTTTTTTTTTCTTATTTTGTTGCGCTTTTTCGTTGTAACGCTAACATGGCTGGCCTCAAGATGCGACACATTTCGATGGAATAAAAACAGGAGAGGAAGTGGATGCCTATAAGAAGGAAACGACAGGGAAAAGGTCTTACGCCAAAGTATTTAGCGAAGTTTTTTTGGCTGTGAGATAGAAGTACCTCCAGTAAAGATTTAACCCTGGAAGATGCATTCCCCTTCATCTTTTATCACTATATCGAAGCGGGAAAGCTGAAGGTTTATCATCGAATGGGTACTGGGTTACAAATGTGTGACGTCACGTCGAAATTTTGTTTGCGAGTGAACCAAAAGCAGCTTGAAAAGACTTTCTGCAGTAGTAAACTAATATTCTCTCCGCGAAGAAACAACGAAAAGAAATTGTTTCTACGGTTACTCGCAGGGATGTATGCGTAGAAACACAAAATAAAACACTGTAATATATTAACCACAAAATGAACATATATTAGTAGTCGCACGTTTAAACAAAACAAAATAAGCGATGCTAGCAATCGAGGCGGAAATGTACAACTTTCTATGTCATCCCGCAATTGCACACGATAGGGGGCGCTCTTGTTGGCCCCAGACGTGTTGGCAACTTTGGGCTCTTTGGGTCGCGTATTTAATTTGTTTGTCCGATCCCCCAAAGGCCGTTTAGGCAATATCCCACTCTGTCTCGTGACTGTGACAGAAATGCAGAGGAGGAGGAAAATTGGCTGAGAAAGGGCGGGGGAAGAATCGTATGCGGAGAGCAAGTCGTCTGCATCTTGCGCAGGAGTTGCGTTGACGTCAGAACGCCGAGCTGTGATTGGCTCTGATTAAAGAATAGTGGGTAGACTTCAAAGCAAGCTGCCTTGACGTCTACCCACTATCCTTCGTTCAGAACCAATAAAAGCTCGGCGTTCTGACGTCACCTCAGCCCCTGCAGAAGCAGACGAACTTGCGCTCCGCATACTCTCGTTTTTTGTTCTCTAGGCTAGGTGGCGTGGCTACTGCCCGTAATAAAGGGTAAAACCGTTAGCATCCATCCATTCATCCACCCATCCATTTATGACGTCAACGTGATTTTTCCGTGTGTATTCGCAGCGCCACTCTGGCCTACCGCGAGTGTATCAAGGTGGTCCTGCACGACCAGTGCCGAGACGCCGGTAGCTCGGTCATCGACAACATCCTCTACCAGCAGACCAAGGAACTGGACTACGAATGCAGAGATTTCAACGCCTACCGCTGCGCCGGTTGCATGACCGTTGCCACGCAGATGGCACTGGTGGCCTGCGTCGCTGTCGCGCTGGCGAGGTTCTTCAGCTTCAGCAGCTGAGCCGCGTGGTCTTCTCAATGAACGCTGGAGCTGCCTGTGTTTTGAGAATTGATTGCGGTGTTTAGATCTTGAGGTCGGCCATAATCAATTGGGACTGGGAACACGTCAACAAACAATCGGACATCACTTCGTTAAAGAAGCAGAGTTGACACCCCAAAACGCCAAGTCTATTCGCCTAATTGCCCATTTCCTGGCACGGAACGTTACGAGGTTTTCCTCGGGTGATCCTTTATCGATGCGCTGTGCTCGCCGCTGTAAGTAGTAAATACAAAAACTAAATAATCATGCAGCATACTGGCCAGGCTGCATGTTTCGTACTTCGAAATGATTGCTAAGGATGTGAGTGTCTTATGCAGAACAATTGGGTGTTCACCTAATGACTCTTGAAGGGCGGCTTCTTGCCGTCCTCCAAGAGTCATTAGGTGAACACCCAATTGTTGTGCAAGGATTTCGCATGCGTCATCGTTCAGCAAGGCGGGATAGTTTAATCAACCTTGCAAGGTAGGAGAGGACAAAAAATGTACAGGCCCTCTCTTGCTTGCCAATCCGGGAACATTATTAGTCGACAAAACATTTCACAGCTGCGCAGTCCCAAGTTTGCCTCGGTTAATGGTCGATCCTCAAGATTCTAACAAGGACCCGTGTGTCTACATTCCCTCAGAGCGCGCTGAAGTCATATTGCTGCGGCTTGCAACAGAAAACTAGCTAATGATTCAGTTCGAAAGTTGTTTTGAGGAAAGATTGCGCTACATAGTGTTCGGATCAAATGTTTCGTTGAAGCCTTAGGTGACCCTCGTGATCTGCTAATCAGTGATTGGCTGTCCGCGTGTTCTTCGGGAGAGTAGAAGCCCGAACATTTTTTTTTTTTTTGAGTCAGCAAGTTCTCCTGTGTATACACCTCCTCTATTCGTCAAGTACTTGGTACTTGGTAATGCGTTCGCAGAAGCGCTTGTTTGATGTTCTGCTTGGTTATCAGTGTGCATGTGTGTTGGTTGGAATCTCAATATATTCTACGCACCTCGAGTATTTTTTTATGTTGTGGAAGGAGGCATACAGGCCGCTTTGTTTATGAAATGCACTGCTCCTGGTGCCAGAACGAACGTGGGCTTCGTGCCTCTATCACCACACGTTGATTCCGGAGCACGAGAAAAGGGCGTGCAACAGGCCACCGAAAGACACACAAATTATTGTTTCACCTATCTAGCTCAAGTTTTCTTATTAACCATGTTCTTATTGGCGACCGAAGCGATCGGGTTTTTTGTATACTTCGCCGACCTCATCCCACTTTGTCAGCGACAGCGTTTATTACCGAGTCAACATCATCTGCAGCTTTTATTTACCCATTACAGACTCACTGGTTGGAAATAACTGGCCGGTGTCATCCGCGATTATTTGCTGACTATCTACGTGAGATGAGCGTGTTTGTGTGGGCCAGCGTGTTTGTTTAGTGAGAACAGGACAAGTATGTCCGAGAGACCCTTTTAAAAATTTCGTCGAGCAACAGTGGCGGTCGGCATTTCTTGGGCACGTTGCGTTTGACTGGATTCGAATCATAGCCAAACGCTGACGCCGCGCTCGTTCTCGATAGCGTCTGCCATAGCCTCCTCTACTAACAAGGTCTGGCAGTTCGACGATGGAGAAATAGAATGCCCGGTCGCAGATTTGGAGCGTGAGGATCTGGTAGCACATAGCATCGAAGAGCCATTTCTCGGGAAACCTGGACGTCAGCGCACAGTTTTTGCAGCGGCGAGAACTCGAAACACACTTATTCTCTCGGAAGAAGTGTGTTTCGGCGTCTCGCCGCAGCGGGGCGCCAGTCACGTGGCTCTCCTCTCATCCGCTGTCTACCGCTCCACCTTTCTCCATTTCGGCGGCCGCTTCTCGGGGCGATCTGCCAGGTTTTATCAGTATACAGGAGGCTATGCGTCTAGGCAGAGTTTACCCTGAGCGCTAACGCAGCACTCGTCTCCAATGCTGGCAAGAGTACGTGCTCGAACAATGGCGGACTCGGATACTTGGCGCAGCAGCTCCTAGATGGCGTGAACTTCTGAAAAGGGTCTACTGGAAGGTAAAATGTCTGCCGTTCGATGAACCTAAAATAGACAACACGGCTTCGGAATGGTACAAGCAGGGTCTGCTCCGGTTAAGATATAGTCTTTATAATATGATCTCAAAACGGCCACCAAAGTTTTACGAAGAGCTGCATTAATGAGGAGAAAGATACTAATAAAAACTCGTCGTAGTAATATCAAAAAAGCCACTTCTTGACTGCAAATATATTAAGATGGCTAATAATAACGATGGCAAAGCGCCTTTAATTTTCCTGACACTTTTCCGATTTACTTCAGTTGGATGAACAGACGAAATACAAGCGGCAGAGCGATTGTTCTGATTGTTCAGTTCTCCATTCGAGGCAGCTGCCAGCACAGCCGGTATGCACCATAACAAGAGCTGAGCGTTTGCGATAATGGACACTGGACATCTTGAAGGTCCTTATCCTTCCTTTCTGAAAAAAAAAAAAAAAGACCTGTCTACACATTAAGTTTTTTGCAAAGAAGCTGAGAGCTGACCGGGCAGTCTACGGAGAAAGTCCTTAGCGAATGACGAAACCACTGCAGAAAACATCTCGACTGTGGCAGCAAGGCACCTGCAGTCAGATTGCAAGCGGGAGACATTTATCATGACGTTTCATTTGATCACTCTCAGTGCTCAATCACGGGTCAATATTTGCTGGTCACCTTGACTTCGTCACTCCTTATTCTGTTTCTATAAGCTTTAGCGGACCGAGGGGTGTGAACTGGCGGGCATTTTTGGAGTGTGCCACGGCTCAACGGAGTTTGGTTACAATTTCCCGATTTACCGAAGTAGCACGCAACAGTGAGTGTCAGGACTGAAGGGCTTCCAGGACTGAAGGACTGTCAGGACTGAAGGAATGTCACGACTGAAGTTACACGCAACTTTCCCGACCTCCACCTTGTAAATTTGCCATAACGCACCCTTTCAAACAGTTCAAATCCGTCCGTTCCCTGTGTTTCCACTCGCTGAGATTGACTGCACCAAAGACAAGCGCGTCACGCAAACAAAAAGCGCGGAGCCATAGTCTCATCCTCGGCGCTTGGTTTGGGCTGCCGGATGGAGGTACCAACAATGGCAGCAGAGACGCGTCTTCCTGACAGGCTTAAAGGGCGATGACGCGTTCGTGCGTTTGATTAGTCGCTGCTCGCTTGTAGTCCTCACTGTGGTCCATATCGAAGCGATGCATATAGTCTCAGAGGATTACCTCTGCGTTTGGAAAGTGTTGATAAGGAGATAGCTGCTCGCGCAATGTCCACGACCTTGATGCAATCTTCCGATTGCACACTGAAGTGGTCAGTTTTGTGACCACTCGAGAAAAAAAAAAAAATACCGGACGTCGCGCTGACCTATCTCGTACGCTGCGCCTTCGTCGCCTTTTGTTTGTTAAGACATGTTCCCGTATCCTTTAAGCCGCACTGCTCACATATCATACGAAAGATACGGTGTTTCTGCAGACATGCTTACAGAGTTATCTGAGGACACGCCTCAAGCATATTTAAAGCTCGTTTGCTTTATCTTCGAACATGTCTGCGGACAGATTTTGTCTGACCAGAGGGACGTACCCATACCTCAGACAGTGTCTTCAGAATGTTTTGTACGGTGTATTGTCAGTGTTACCGCGGGGGCGATTCACACACTTGCGTTGAGTCTGGCCGAGTGCGAGGGTTGCTATGGCAACGGCGGCATTGGCTCCAACAAAGCCGACACAGCTGTTGCCATAGCAACCCTTGCACTCAATAACGCGAGTGTGTGAGTCACTCTTAAAACTGGAGAGGAAAGTTGAAAACTGCTCACTGATATCCCCAGGGCCTCCACAAAAAAAATGCCATGGCGAAATCTCCACCGGGGTTCTGGCCGGGTCTTGATTGTAACAGAATCTGTCTCTGCGCCGTGAATCTCGCCCGCATTGTTTGAGATAGACAGCCAGGTGTCGTTATTCATCCGTGTCCGATGTGCATTGTACATATTTGCCCCGCTTGAGGTGTATCATCCGCAGTCGCGATTCTTGTTCAAACAGCTTGTTGACAATGTCAGTTTACCGGCGAATAAAAACTTCCTACCTGTTGGTGCTTTGAGTCTGTGTCTTTTTTGTTGTGTTCTGGTTGAAAAATTCTACCTACCCGAAATAAGAACAAACTGGGAAGAACCACGCCATTGATCGCCATTAAAATGGTGCGCCCGACGGAGGGCCGTCATTTGAAGGTCTAAGCACATCCAAGTTATGACCAAATGTCACATGAATCCAGTATATCTTGTTCGATTATACGATTAAAAAAGTATATAAATATGTTATGCACGCGTGGCTCCGAAGGCACTCCGGAAGCATGCATGGAGAGAGCGAACATTTTCAAAAGATGACATATACCGACTTCGAGAATATGCTACAGAGAGACCTTTTTAGGGCTGGATGTCGATTAAAACATTCAGCCCGATTTACCGCTGCTCATTAATCGATTAATTAACTTTGACGACATGGCCTCGAGCCCGCCGATAGTAAGACAGACGTAAGGCGGTGACTGAAAGACGGCTGTGTTTATTTCGGGTGCTCGTAGTTTTATACACAGCGGGTGGGCGATCAGCTCATATCATGTAAGAACACAACACGAACAACCAAAGGATAACAAGAAAACAAGCGATACAAAACAGCATGACACTGCCGTTTCTACACTTTTCTCTCCTTTAAAAGTGGAATCTATCCACTGGTTTGCGGGCTCTAGCTGAACGTCGCAATGTAAGATCTTCCGGTGGTACCTCCGGGACTGCAGCTGGCGTGTCGGTATAACGGCTTCCACGCCTGGTGGTCGCCGAAGTTGACAACGCTGAAGGTAGGAGCACAGTCGGCTTCTGGTGGTCGGTATAGTAGTCTCCCCTCCGATAGCCTTTTTCGGACTTGGTCATCGTGCCGATGCACCAGCTTCTCCGGAGTCACGACGGTCATCATCCGTGACCCATCCGTGGACTTGATTTCGCCAAACGTCCAGTTGTCACCTTGACCATAGTTGCGAACGTATACTGTATATCCGGGTGCAAAGTTCCAAGTAGTTTCTTCCTGCTGTTCTTCCCGAAGGGTGGGCGGAAAGCAGGTATATATCCGCGAGGGGGTTTGATACCCCAAAAGAACTTCAGATGGTGATTTCCGGGAGGCTTGGGGGGTGGGGGTTCTGTAATTAAACAAAAGTTGAGCCAGTTTGTGTTCAGGCTGTCACCCTGCATCTTCTTAAGGCCTTTTTTTAACAGTGTGCACGGCCCTCTCGGCAAGGCCATTAGATTGTTGATGGAAAGGGGCCGTTCTAAGGTATGTCGTGTTGTTATTCTTAACAAACTTGAATTTATCACTTGTGAATGGGGTGCCGTTATCAAATACCAACGTACGCGGAATACCAAAATGACTGAAAAACGCGCGTAATGTCACTATCGTGGATTGCGTGGTTTCCTGCGTCAGCGGCACTGCTTCGATTCATTTGCTATATGAATCCACAACAGTGAGTATCATCTTCCCCTTCAGAGGACCCGCAAAGTCAATGTGTACTCTTGACCAATTTTTCATTGTTTTTGGCCAATTCATTGGTTCATTCGCTGTTGGCATTGGAAGCGCCTGAACACAGTCTCTGCATATCGCAGTTTTGTCTTCGATCGCCTTGTCGAGGCGAGGCCACCAAAACTTTTATCGGGCCACAGTTTTCATTGAGGACGCGCCTTGGTGTGTCTCGTGAAGTGAACACAATATTCGGTTCCTCCCGGTTTCTGGAATCACGACGCGATGCCTCCAGTACAGCAAGTCCTACGCAACTGAGAGCTCGAGCGCTGTCATAAAATGATTGCAGGCCAACTTCCAAGTTGGTTATATACTTGTACGCCATCTTTTCATGGCGTAGCTTTTAACGTCCGACAAAAGGTTGTCTTCAGCCGTCATCTCCCTGAGCTCTCTGGTGGCAACAGTTCCCTCATCGAGGTTTTGTAATGAAAGGATATGAGCTCACTTGTCCTCAGGCACGGAAAGCGGCAATCGGCTTAATGCGTCGGTGTTGAGCAACAGTTTGCCCGGCTGTGTGTAAAACTACTAGCACCAGGAATAAACACAGTTTTGCTAGCGACAGGATCACCGGTATGCGCCATCACGAAAGAAATATACGAACAGCATCGCCGTCTTCCATTTTCAGTTTCCGCTATCGTGGTTAGCATTACCGCAACGATCACATTCAGACGATGAATGCGATGTTCTCTTTGCAGTGAACGAATTTTTTCGCTGACCCTCGAGCCTGTGAATCTCGGGTGGTCTCCTATCTCTCGATATCTGTTGTGCGTCGGCGTCTGCAGTTTCTGCCGCCCATGCCAAAGACTCCGCATCTCGCAACGTCAGCGCGCGTTTAGCCAGAAGTTGTTTTTGTAGGCTCTTCGATCGAACGCCTCACACGATTCGCCCTCGAAGCACCCCTTGCGAGCATACCCGCGAAGTTGCAGTTTTTTGCGATCCTTCGTATTTCCACAAGGAATGCACACACAGATTCCCCCTCCCCTTGGAATCGGTTAAAAAAACTTAAAGATTTCAGAAATTTCATAAGGCTTAGGGTCGTGGTATTCATCAAGGACCCGAGACGCTTCAACGTACGTTAAAGGGCCTCCCCGGGCACTCTACTCTTCCGCAGAGAACTTGTATGGTTCTTGTTCCCAAAGCTGCCACCAACAGAGCCCTATTCTTAGCGTCCGCTGTCACATCACTTTCTCCAAAATATGCTTCGACTTTCACTAGGTAAGCGTTCCGCTTATCTTGTTCGCCGTCGAAATGCGGCAGCTGATGATGGTTCATCGTCAGGCGGCCCGTGCGAGGGTATCCTCTCTGAGGTCACCTTGACGCAATCCTTGTCTTGTGTCGCGCCAGTGCCTGTACTCGTCGCCAGTGTTACGAGGTGGAAACGAGCCCGTCGCTAGCAACACTGTGTTTATTTCAGGGTGCTCGTAGTTTTATACTTAGCGGGAGGGCGGTGAGCTCTTATAACGAAAGAACACATCACGAATAACAGAAGAGTAACAAGTAACAAGTGATACAAAACAGCATGACACTGAGGTTCTCGATTAATCGATTGACCTGTTGAGTTGACATCCAAGATTATATAAAAAAGTGTAAAAAACAATATATATAAATATATAACTGGGAAGAAAAAAATCCTTGATGAAAACAGCAACAACGGACGATTTAATCTTCGACGTTTCGGCCGGAGTCCTGCCTTCGTCAGGAAGGCAGGAAGAACCTGACGAATTAAAAAATGATTGAAATTAATAGTAGCATTGACTTGATAGAGACAAATCGCGCACGAACAGCGTTAGGACTGTCCGTAACGCGATTTTTTTTTTCGTTTGGGATTTTTCTTTAAGACGTTAAATCTCTTCTGGGATTGCTGCTTTCTTATGGAGCATTCGTTGCGATACGAATCTGTCCCGATGTCAAGCGGACACAGATATAATATTGTTGACCACCCAATCTCGTCCGTACCAAAGAGGATAAAACGCTACGCCAACCGCGATAAAGAAAATAACTCCGAGAGATGATCTGGCTGTCGAAGAATTGTTGTTGTCTTTGCGTCTGGCTCGCTCATATCACCAGACTTGCCCATGGCCTGATAAGGGATACGCCCACGAGATGCAGCGAGTACAACAAATGATCGAAGGAGAGCGCACGGGGCGACGGTTTGGACAAATAAAAGTTGCTACGCTACCTATCGCGCTAGTATGGCTACAAATCTGGAGCAGTCGGAATCTTTTTCGAACTTTTTGAATTGCTATCTTTGTTTTTATTGGGAAGTTTGACTTTAACCGCTCACAGTCAACACCCCCCTAGGATAATCGAGGCCTGTGATCAGCCTCCTCTTTTACATCCATGGAATCGCATAAGTCTTGGATGGCGCATGTCACCAATTGGGCCCAACCTTGATGCCTAACGTCCTTCCGGACCAATAGCTCCTTGAAGATAGGGACTGCTCAAGACGTCGTCGTCAGTGGCTACCTAAGTGGCAAATACGCTAAAACGTGTTTACGGCCGGAAAGCGGAACACGCGTCCGTCTACTCCGTGCCAGCGTCGCATTCGTTGCGATGACGACGTAAGCTATAGGTGGCGCTGCCTGAATCCACAAGTGATGACGTATGAGGGGAAAGCCCTTGTCTTCTAGCTGGCATTGACGGGACCAACACCTCCTCGACAGCTTTCAAGCCTGCGCGTCACCTGACATGACGTCACGTCCCGGGGGCCAGTTGCGCGGGCGCTGATTGGATTCGAGTGCCGCGTCAGTCTTCGCGTGGGCCCTACGATAGGAAACGAGTCCCACGCGAACGCTGACGCGACCATCGCATCCAATCAGCGCCCGTGCAACTGGCCTCCGGGACGTGACGTCGTCATGTCACGTGACCTGCATGCTTTGAAAGCTGTCTAGGAGGTGTTGACTGGACACGGGATCCAGCCCTCTGACACGGTGTTCGTGTCCAGTCTTCGCACTATCTCACCGTGATAACGTCCGACATTTAGTGCGCAGCCTGTCCTAAGCTGGTGTTGTCCCAGTGGGACACATTCGAGCTCAAACTCTGAGACTATACGGAGAGTAAGTCGTCCGCTTCTTGCGCAGGAGTTTGCGGTGACGTCACAATGACGCCGAGCTCTTATTGGCTGATTAAAAAAAAATAGTGGGTAGACCTCAAAGCATCTAGCATTGAGGTCTATCCACTATTTTCTTCAAACAGCCAATCAGAGCTCGGCATTCGTCTGACGTCACCGCCACTCATGCGCAAGAAGCAGATGACTTAAATAATACTTAAAAAACAAGCGAGCTGGTGATGATTCATGGTAATAAAACCCGAGACTCTTGATGATTCATGGTAATAAAACCCGAGATGACTTGCTCTCCGCATAAAACTGAATAAAACCGAGATATATCCATCTTACCTTTAGAATTTCTGGAGTCCGCGGGGAGTTTCTTGCGATACGATTGGACGTAAACAACTCCGCCTTTATCTGCCGGCATCCGGTTATCAGAAAGCTCGATTATCTCGGTTTGAATATACACCGTGGAATGCAGTGAGAGCGTTCCATGGCTTTGTTGCCGCGTTCCACGATGCTACGCGCCGAGTCTACAGGGGGCGCTCCCTACATCCGTCGTCTGTTTTGAGCGAGGAGTTGGTCCGTCTCGAGAAGAAGTTATCAGGCCCCTGTACACCCACGGAACCTTGCGCGCTATCTGGACACTTCCGCGCCACAGCGAGGACATCATTCAAGCAGGCGGAAGAACGCGTCCTCCGTTCGCGGAAAAAGCAACGCCGGAACCCAGGGAACCCAGGTAGGCCCTTTGTAGATCTTCAAGCGCGACGAACACCGACATCTTGTCTGGTGCCATAGCAGCCAGCTTTTTGGCGACACGCACGAATTTGTATCCCTGGTACACTGATGTTCACAAAGGTGTCCTCCAAACGCCCATTGGTGACTTCACCGTCCCACCATTGCGACAAACAACAAACATTACTGGCAGACACGACATTTTGTTCGTAAACTTTTCTACGCTTCAGCGTCAGCAACAGGTAGTACAAAAGAACGTGCACGTGAACACGTGGCACTGCGCAGAACTGGTCAGTTTGCTTAAAGGGATACTTCAACGAAATTTCGGCGCTCATTTTTTGCTCTGTATGTGTTCAAAAAAGCAGTATCATATGGAACATCCCAATATCTTGTTAAAAAAGTCTCGTAAAGGAATTTTAAAACGAATTAAACGATTAGCAAAGAGCACCTGGTGGATGTCGCTAACGCCTCGTTTGTAATGCTCGTCTAGAAACCTTGACAGCTAGTGACGGAGGTTGTCTCGTCTCCGGCCACGACGAGAGAAGGGGGGAAGGAGGAACTCCCCTCGTCCCGAGAATCCCTTTTGTGTGTCGCAGAAGTCGCTATTGTCCCCCTAGAAGATTATAGAAAATTAACCCGTCACTCAAAATTCGTACAAAAGCAGCCACTTCGGTGGCTGGAACGACTAGGCCATTCTCTCGACGTCAGCCTCGCCGTAGCTTTGCTCGTCTTGAGACGACCTACGTCACGATTGCGTTGGATGTCACGTGCTCTAAGCTGGGCCTTCTCCGAGCGCTTGCCAGAGTGGGCCGTTTATAACGAAAAATACAGCCACCAGGATCAAAATACAAACGTGCGATTGTCATTTACGGATATTGTGGATCATATTCAACCTATTTTTGAACACGACGGGAATATTTCAAATTTCGTTGAAGTATCCCTTTAAAAGATGATCTTGTTTTATTTGGGAACAAAGACGATTAGTTTTTGTTTAGTGTGTTGGACTTGTCTTTGAGTTATTTGTTCGCTTAGTGGGAGCAGACTCCGGCAGAAATGGCTGATTGGTCCGTTCCACAAAGAAAACGAAAAACTCCTTGCCGACATAACAAATATTTCTGGAACGCAAGTTACCTTCGGCAACACCACGTGATCACAAACATTTCGTTTGGTCGCCGTCATGTGGCATTCAAGCGTAAAAAATGTTGCTAACAATGTCCAATTGAAGTGTCGACCAGTAGTGTTTTTTTGCTTGCCGGTCTAATCTGAACAAGCCGAAATTATGTATTGTTTCTAGTGGTATCTGGTATAAAAAAGAAAAAAGTAACCTCACATTTTATTCTTGTACATTATTCAACTTTACTGATGTCAGGGTGTGATTTATCTGGCGGAAACTACCATAAAAGAATGAATGTTGTGGAACTCTTCCAAAATTACACCAACACCACTCTTCTTCATCGTAAAGCCCAAAACTAAAAACCAAAATGTAAGTGCAGGGTGAGGGTATTTATGCTAAATAACTCGTGAAATATTTTATTTTATTTTATTTTGTGTGGCCCTGGATGTTACTATTTGCGACCTTCCTTCTCGGTGCCTATCTTCCTTTCTCTCAAAAATTTAACGGAAGGAGTCTGCGTTCAATCTGCACGGCGAAATTTGAGTTAATCTTTTCGACAAAAACCCCGAGACCGGGACAAAAAGGGACGGACAAACACAAAGTTTTGAGACTTTGTGTTTGTCCGTCCCTTTTTGTCCCAGTCTCGGGGTTTTTGTCGAAATGTTTAACCACCACCAGCTCGTTTGCGCCCTTACCTTTTGTTCGTGAGTTAATCTGTTTATTTGTGACAGATGCTTACAATCGTAAGAACAAACGAGAAAATATGCATCGATCATACATATATCTGAAGAACCTCAGATGCATTTCCTTTATGACAGTCCATTTGGCATCGAGCTGTGTGCAACTTTGCTGTACTCTGTGAAGGAGTTAGCGCGGACACGACATCACTAGAATTTTGCACGCTCGAACACAAATTTTCGCCTGCTAAATTTCAATTCAGTATCAAAAAAGAAGAAAAGAAATACCGCAAACGTACAAACACACGAGCACACAGATGCACACACACACACAAGCATATCCATTGCTAGTTCTGCGTCACATTTTTTTGGTTATTCGATTCGATGCAAAAGGATGTCGTACGTGTTGGCTCGTGTCGTTTTGTTGGTTCCTCCACCATGCATGGAAACGCCGTTTGCTCCAAGCGTGGCCACTAAAATCATCACCTGACTGCATGCATGCATGCTTGGTCCTCTTATTAAAAAAAAAAAAGTCACGCAAGTGTAGACCACGGAAGCTTGGCAACAAAATAGTAAAATTACTCTTTCGTTGCCAAACTTGTGATGACTAAATTCAAGCCCAACTCTCGCCCCTCAAACAATATAACACATCGGTTAAAGTGTATGGGATGAGGTAATTATACTGCGTTTTGACAGCAGTATAACTAGCGTTACGATTATGCCCTTTTATTTTTACCTTACATACATACTAACTTTCGTGAAGTTCCTTTATTCTGGTCATGGATCGGGCTTTCCCTATTTTATGAAATCTGCATGCCAGGCACGCGTGCAAGGCACCATGCTGGTCACATGTTCTCCGCACATAAGCTTTCTCTTTTTGAGTCGTTTAAACGCGATAAAGCAGTGTTCATGTCCGATTATTTATAATAGGAAGAGAGCGAGTCTTGACAAAGAGACGCCGGGAATGCCGTATATTGACCGAAGACGCGGGTGCGGTGTATAACCGGCCTGCTCCTATACGCGTCGAAGCGTCGGTGGACGTCAATAGGCAAATCCCTCGGAGTCGACCGGCCATTAAGGTCTGGCGCAGCGGCGCTAGCGACGGCCTTGAGATGTTTGTGTTTCGGTGACCGAGAGCCGCTCCCTTAGCGACTACGCCGCCAAATCCCTCTTGAGAAAACTCGAGCCGTGTTCTTAGGCGCATAGAACTCGCATTTGTACTTTTACACGAAACAGAAATTGTTGTCTATTGATGGAGTGGCCACGAGTGGCAGGGGGAGGGAGGAAGAGATTGTAAGAGAATCGGTATCTCTTATTAAACAGATTGGTATAGTGACGCGTTGTTTCGGTGGCAGTAGCCTTCGGCGTTTGGTACTTTCATTGCGGAGAGCAAGTCGTCGGCTTCTTTTGCAGGGGTTGTGGTGACGTCAGAACGCCGAGCTATGATTGGTTCTGAATGAAGGATAGTGGATAGACCCCTCAAGGCAGCTTGCTTTGAGGTCTACCCACTATCCTTCAACCAGAGCCAATCAGAGCTCGGCGTTTTTCTGACGTCGCCGCAATTCCTGCGCAAAAAGCAGACGACTTGCTCTCTGCATAAACACCAGCTATGGTCATCGGCGCATGCTATAAAAATGCTCGAGAACCTCATAAATACTGCCATGACGAGTTCTAACGTTTCAGCATTCTGAAGGAATCAAAATTCGTGTCTATTATTTTATTTTCATCGCGATAAATACTTTGAGCAAATCTCAGCATGAGAGAAGGGGAGAAGGAGGGAGAGGGAAGAGGATGAGAGGAGGGGAGATTTAAGGATGAGGGGAGGAGGAGTAGGGAGGATGAGGAGGGAGGAGGTTATACCCTCCCCTCGGTACCTTTATCTCCTCCTCCTCAAGAGCTGCGCTCTGATTCGGCATTACAGGGTGCTGCATTTTATCTCTACTTTATCCTTAAATTTCTTGTCAGGAGTGTTCAGGAGAGGGTTTCAAAAAGGGCTTCACAATCAGCCAAATTGGAGCAGATGTATGTGTAGAGCTCATACCCTAGTTATCGTAAACCGAGTAAAGCTTGTTGGTCGGTGGCGTTGCCCTACATTCTACGGTGTGGAATCAAGGGTGCTCAGCTAATAACTGGATAGCAAGTTCAAGCGTTTTTTCTTTCTTGTTTGTACAAAAAGAAGAGTGCGGCTCTTTATTTCTTTAATTTGGAAATATACGAAAATTCATTTGAAAGAATCCGAATGATTTCCCACTTGCTCGAAATTTTAGATGAACAGAGATTTCTTGTCTACAGGGTATATACGATAAATGAAAACCACTTTTTTTTTTTTTTTTACTATCTTCTGTTGGAAGGATACGAGCTGTAAATTCTACATCCGTGCCAAGTATAATATGCATTTTTACTAGAAATTAAATTATATTTGGCAATTCTTCCTTTAGAGCATAACTAAAATGAGTATATCAAGTACCGAAAAAACTATGTTAAATACAAAAAACGTCAAGCAGAGCAGCGGCATAAGGCAAGCAAGCTAAAAAAATAGTAGCCCGAATATTTTTAGAGGTGTAGGCGTCTGTGTGCTGGAACTCACCGATAATTTTTTCTTCTTGCTCGGATTAGTGCGTGATGTTTACTGCGATCTTCGTTTCAATGAAAGCGAATTACTGTTTCACATGTTTCCGGCGATGCATCGATACCCTTCGGATTGTTGTTACATTTGAATATTTTATTGCTGGGTTGTGCCCTTAAAACCCTTTACCGTTCAGACTGTCAAATATATCTTCATATATTATTTCACCTTATTCAATTTTCACAACCTCCTCATAGGAAAGTGGCCGGGGTCACTGACACCACGCGGTTGCCATGAAATGGCATTATGCATCTACCTTCACCTGAAAAATAAATCCGTTTTTTTTTTTTGTGCGTTTTGTGCGCTACTCCAGTTTCTCACAAATCCGAGCTCTAGGCGATAAGGAGTCAAGGAAAGAATCCACTCTGCCACTTTGC